CAGGAAGCAAATTAGCGTTTCGGTGGCTTCACAGTGGAATATCCAAATAAATTCCGTGTAAATCTATCTTTTCGAAAGAGCTGCTTTTGTTCACTAAAAATATATCTTATTGAAACAAACAAAATACAAAAAATAGTTTGATTCTATGAGCTTATTTAAACAAAGCTTTGTAATAGTGCACTCTTTTCCTGATGAAGTACTCAAGAATTTTACCAAAAGGTGTGTTTATCTGTTTTTTAAAAGATAAATTTTATAAGCTTAATGTGTTATTTTTAATGGCGTCATAGCAGAGTAGTAATTTCTTTCCTTATATGCATTTACACATATAATTGTAGGTATTAATTTCATACTGAATACAAAACAACCCAATATAGCCGAGCTTTTCTTATAACTGAAAGAATGGAGAAAAATAGAATTGAATCTTCGAACTCGAAACCCAGTCATCTCCAGTTTTTCGATTTGCCATTAATGCCTTCTTTAGAATTAAATACGTAGCTTGTTAACGAATGCAAGAGCTATCATTATACTGCATATAAAAATTACCAATAAATCTTTGCTTCTGGTTGAATGAAGTATGCATGGCAGGGGAAAATCTTAAAGATAACCACTTTTATTTTAAATTATGTAAATAAGTATGTGTGATAAGGTATAATAAAATCCTGTAATAAAATAATATAGTTAAAGAAACATTGAGGGCATGTGATGTAACCTATGAGGTGTTATTGCATGGTTACGTGTAAAAATGCCTTAGTAGCGCTACCAGATAAATATTGCATGTTTTTTAACCGAGTATTTTAACATATGTGAATATATTTTAAAATAGGTACGAAAATATTCTGTAATATGGATAGTTCAAATACCGTCTATAGGACTAGCTAGTTACGGTAATCAAAAATTTTATTTTACTAGACAAATTATAAAATTATTATGAAAATTTGATGTGTATTAAAAATAGTTGTTTTTGCTGTTATTATCATTAGTATAGTGCGTGTTTTATTTACTGTATACTGTTCGCATTGCTGTCACTTGAGTAGGCCAGAATTATAACAATTTTTGCATAATTCGTATTATTTTACGTCGTTTTTCTCAGCTGTGGTCTATTTTGGTATAACATGTGCAATTATGTTTTCGTCTGCATTACTTAAATTGTTTGCGAACAGTAAAAGAATGTAAGTTTTAATCATGAACAAGAAAATTAAAATAGTAACATCGAGTCACATTTGTCGTAAACTATTGGCAACGTCAGCTTGATGAAACACCGGAAAAACAATACAAATGTACTAGGAATTTTTGAAAAATAATTTGTTACTCAAATTTATAAAGCGCATATGTAATGACGTGGTCCTCGGCTCGGGTTCTCATTTTTCCCAATTGGTGCTCCTCGAACAGAGATAATCTGAGCCGTTAATATTTCCTGGAAATTTCTACTGTGTTGTACTACCATAAACAATAAACTTCTACAATTTGACTTTAGCTGAATGATTTAACTGTCACATATATTGTCATACCTTTTAATATCCACCAGAATATACTATTTCCTTTTATTTTACAATTTGTACAGTATCTGCTAATAGCCGAGAAATTAAATCATTGAACAGTCCTATCTGAGTACAAATATCGGCTAACTGACTATCTACATGGATGTTTACGTGGTTTTATTAATGTGGCGTATGGTTATAAGACAGTTTCTCTCAGAAAGCTCTTCGAAGAATCTTTCTCTTTTGGAAGATAAAGCTGAAGTTATATGTCTTAATCAATTAAAAATCAGTATAATGTGCAATGGGGATCGTAATATATCTATTTTTTATTTTCAAGTAAAATAAACATACTTCTATAGCATTATAAGATAAAAATTATATACTGATTTTTCAATGTTCAATAATTATGTCTGTCTTTTACTAAGATAAGCTTGCACGAAAATATTATTTTTATTTTCATTACTAGTCTTAAAAATTGCTTTGAGTTATTTAAAATTACTAGCTATCTTGCACAGACATTAGGATTTTTTGAAGCAGGAAAGATAAAAAATGAGCAACGCCTTCGCCGGAACTCGACCCACGGACCTCTCAAATACGCGCCGAGCGTGCTGACCACTACACTACGAAGGCACGCTAAGAAGGCGGGAAAAATACCTTATATACGGCCCCTTTTAAAGGGCGACTGGGGATTAGGGGACTTAATCCCAAATACTGGTGGTGGAGAATCATGATCCACCACCTTTTTTTTTAGTTCGGGCGCCACTCCAGACAAATTAAGTTATTTCGAAGCACGAGATGAAAAATGAGCAACGCCTTCGCGGGACTCGAACCACGGACCTCTCGAATACTCGCCGAACCTGTTGACCACTACACTACGAAGTCATGCTAAGAAGGCGGGAGAAATACCTTATAACCTTATTAGCATTCAGTCTATTTACATCGCATAACTAAGATTTTACTGCATACAAATATATTGTGATCTAAGTATATAAATAGATTGTAATGTATATTACTTATGTTTAACAATAATATTATGAGCACTTAGGACTTCAGTTAATGAAAAAATAATTTTTGCAAGTTATCCGGGGGCGAGAACTCTTACTCGAAATGGCATCTCCTCTTTAGTTAGTATTAATGAAGTTCTATTTCCTTTCTAAAATTTTGCTTTGTTTTTAGAATCAAACATCAACGGAGTTATTCCAAAACTAGCTCTTAATGTTTCTGCGAAAAACAGTTTCCGATATTAATTGAAATAGGTCATGGATAGCTAGTTGGGCGTTAGATAGAAACCTATTTTCTTTAGCCCTAAAGAAAACACAAATCTTTTTTATGTTGATCGAATGGAATTCATGGTTTCTTCATTCTAACATATTGCTTGTTTAGAATAACAATGCAGTCTAAGCAATAAAAAGTGCAAAATTTGAAAGCACTGATCCTACATTTTAGAAGTAAAGCAGCGTAGAATACCAAAAAATGGTAAATGTTCTTAAACGAAAAAATATTACTGCCATTGACATCCAACGTTTTTCTTTTTATATTCAACATTTCTTTCTAAAATTCAAGAATTTGCAATTTTTCCTTCCACTTCGTCTCACCAGTAGTCCAGTAGGCTAGATGAATGAACTCTGATCAATTGTCCAAGCCACAGTTTCTAGCAACTGTACTGGATAATTGAATTGAATCGAGGATTACCTGTTTCAAAAGAAATTAACAAAAAAGTTGTTTTCTATATTTTTTTTTATTCTGAAGAAATCATCTGGGCTTTTGACATTTTCTTTGATTAACAGAAACAAAACCTATGAGGATTGGCAACTGTATATTCACAATTCTCTAAGAGTAAAACCCCTTTATTTAGAATTGACACCAAAGATATACTTCGGTGAAACCTTTACTGCTATTCATCGCAGTCATCAGTATTATATACAGAGTATTATCAGCAGTGCTGAAGTCGTAGTATACCTGTAGCAAAAACTGTGGTTCAAATAAAGTGGTCTACTCCTTTACGTATGTCTGATACAGTTTGAGACCAAATGTGATGAAGAGATTCATGCATCTTATTAATTAAATTATAGTCACAGATACTTAAGTGTAGGAAATACTGTGTATGATAGAGCACTTCTCCGCCCTTCTATAGGACAAATGAACCATTAGCTACACTTCATACACTACAGCGTTATTCTGCAAAATAAAGGGAGGATTCTGCAGAAATTGTTGTGACTTATTTTGCAACGCTGGTTGTAGGCTGAAATTCCAAAAATGAAAAGTAAAACTGAACATTGGCAGTCTGTACTAGAGGTACTGTATGAGAAAGGATAACACCATATAATCGTACAAGAGAATCCTCATGGCCTCCCCATTGTTAAAGCTGTTTTGAGCTTTTGATTTTTCTAGTGACCTGCAGTGATCCTACTTGTTTGATTGGCTTTCTAGCTTTGGCTCGCTCGAGCTAGGCCATGTCTTCTTCAGCCTAATGAAATGGTTAGGTAGGATGCCTCGAACTAATGTTTTTAGCACTTCAGTTATGTTTCATCAGTGCCGTATGGTTTTTATCCACTTCTATATTCTCAGTAATTTTGCTGTTCTTGTTCTGTACAGTTTTAGACTATCAATTCTCACTAGATTGCATTCTTGTCACAGCACATATACATTGCGTTAGACACGTCCGTTTATTGTGAAGTAAGGTAGGTATCGAATTATTAAGTCTTACGTAAGTGAGAACCTTTGGTGGGTTTGTTTCATGCCATGTGTAAAGCAATATTGTCACTTTTAACGGGCTAATTTATGTATTTATAAGAAAATTACACGCATTTATTTAAAAAAAAATTCCGACAATAAATTATATTTTCAATCATATTTGAAAAACTGTTTATTCCTAAACTTATGCGCAAGAAAGTTCATAACTTTTTAATAAAAAATTGTCTCTGTAGATTAGTAATTTTATAAATTTCAGAAATATTTGTCTTTAATATATGAAGTGTCTGGATGGGATACATGTTAATAATGCAAACGAACCACGGAAAGTACTTTATGCTAAATTTATTTTAATTAATAATAAATACCTTTATATCGAGAAAATATGCCGTATTACCTCTCAGTTAACTCAAAGTAAGGAAACAGATTAACAAGCAAGGAATTAAAGCAAGAAACGTCTTATTAGCATTTTCATAACGTTAACAATAAAATCTGGAATATATACTGCTTGTGACATGGATTTTGTTTTGATAGAAAAGGTCAACAATGACTAGGATGATTCAAAAACTTTTAATTTACGTCGTCAAAATACATTTAACTTCACGAAACTCTATGAAAATCTAAATTATGTGTATTTCTTAAGGTAGAAAAATCTTTAAGAATTCAAAGTTTATTGCCATGTAAAATATCTTACAAATCAGGCATAGTTTTATGCCTTACAAGTAAATACGTGGCACTGAAACTAAACGTAAACAAACTAAAATAATTGTAACAACTTTACTTCTCTAACAGTCTTAAAAATTTACAAGAAGTTTTTTAATATTTACTTACCTAATAACAAAATTGTCAGAACTAAGAATACGTAACATCTACCTTTCATGCCGTTCCAAATACAGACCTAGAAAGAAATAAAATGTGTTAAATTTTTCCACAAATTAAAAGTTATTCTTTAAAAGGCATTACATATTAAACTTACAAAATTTTAATGTATTTTCTTTATGATTTAATATATACCAAAGTTTCATACCATACGAAAATTTTTCGAGATTTTTTAATCTGTCATTCTTTTTAAACATTCCTGATATTGATATTAACCAATATTATAAATGTTCCTTAATATTTTAGCTATATCTTTATGGCATTAAATTTTATTCTTTTCTGCATGCTTTTTATTAATATATTTTTCTTATATAATGTATTTGTTTCATCCTGGAGAGAAAAATTATTTTAATATATCTGCTTTTAAGAAAGCAGCTGGTTGCCAACCATTTTTAGAATTAAACAAAGAAATACAAGGTACATAAATACAGCTGCACGAAAGCATTAAACGCTTTAAAGCTGTTACATATTCATAAATACTGCAGGTTAACAATTAAAGTACGGCAATTAATTTGGTCAAAACGATAGAGAGCTACGTGTAACAAGTTAATGTTCTATAAAAGAGCTTTTAGGAACAATTCTCTTAAATTTATATCACATTACGAGAAAACAGCGAACATTTAATACAATTGCCCTGTTCGGCTTGGAATCAATACTAGAAGGAACCTATCGGTATCTAATGATTTTATCAGTTGGGTCTTTTGTAGACCTTACAGTTCAATTCGAAGGGCATCTCTAATGCTTTCTTAAGAGATTTAACCTAGCATCTTTCATACTTCTTTTGAATTAACAGGCAATTTAGAATGAAACCCATGAAGTGAGGATGTAAGTCTATAAAATAAATTATAAATAATAAATAATTTATAAATCTTTTTACTTTGAAAAAACGAAGAGAAAAAAAAACAGATAAATAAGTAGAGATATAGCAAGGTAACAAAAATTTGGAAAGTAGCATTAAAAGTTTTGTATCTATTTACACTGCTGGCCACCGTAAATGCAACACCCTGAAGGAAGCATGCAAATAGCACGAAATTTACACCATGCATTAGCGGAGGTGAGATATGCAAATGATTAGAATTTCAGCGCAGACGTGCATCACGCGTGCCTGTGGTGCCACTTCAAAGCGCTATTTAAAGCTTGGAGTTTTCGACGATTTAAACAGAATATCACAAGTTCGGCAATTGTGTTTTTCTTGTGGTTTTTTTAAAAAAAATTGATCAATTATGCCTCGTAGTAAACAGCGATCATCGTTTGATCAAATATCCGAGTTCGACAGAGGATAGTGGCCTACCGAGAGTGTGGATTATCTTTCAAGGAAATCGCTACATCTCCGAGGTGTTGCAGCCAGTTGTCCTTCCTTATCTTCAGGGCTTGCCCATAGCCATATATAGGATAATGCGCGACCACACGTGGCACGCATTGTCCAAGGGTTCTTCGTCAATCGCCAGATAGAATTGCTTCCCTGGCCGGACTCGCTCTCCTGGGTTTTTCGTCGATAGAAAACATGTGGTCCTTGGTTGCTGAACGATTTGACCCAGATTACATCCCCAAGCTTGCCACACCAGATCAACTTTGGCAAACGTGGGGAAGCTGCTTGGTCTTCTGTACCCCAAGAACACATCCAAAGTCTCTTTGAATCAATGCCGAGGCGTGTGGCAGCGGTGATCTCTAACAATGGCGGCTACTCTGGCTACTAATTCTGGAAGGAACCACACTTCACAGAAGTCTATAGATTTAATCATTTGATACTTGGTCAACATGTTATCTACTAAATAAAATTTGTTGTGATATCTCTTGTCTTTCTTGGTGTTGCAATTTAGGTGGCCAGCAGTGTATTTCACGCAAACGGGATCAGTATTTCACATGCAGCAAGTATATACAAGAGCTGGCTGAAAAGTAACCAAAAATCATTTATCTCTCTTTCCCAATATTAGTTCAATTCTAAGTTGGGTTTTATGAATGATCTACGTAAGTGGATTTGATAACTACTAAAAGTGCTATACAACTGAATATCTTTGGTCACAACATATAAGAAGGAAGCATAGGGAAAAGGAATGGGAGTCCCTCGAAGCCGTCCCCTGGTGTGCTTTCTCTCAAAATTGGGCTGGGGCAAAACTGAGCTAAAGTCCGGCTGTAACTTAATATGGTGCTCAAGGTTCTTACCAGGGACATGTGCATTTGACTTCTTGCTACGATGAATATCGTGGGTGATCATTGTCAGGCAAGTGAGATTGATAACATCAAGAGAAACTGCATTGAAAAATAGAAACCAAAAAAAAAGTACGCTTTTCTTACAAGAACTCCATCTTTAATAAAATAATCAGTGTTAAAACTTTTCAGTCACTCTCAATTTACCTATTAGGAATTTTAACGCTAATTTTAAGTGAACTATTTGTAATACTTATTCTGCAAAGAAAAAGAAAGCTTAATGATTAATATTACAGTTTTTTTAAGTGACATCCTTCTAATTTAAGCCAAGTATCATTATAACTTTAATAATAAGCAGTGAGAAAAATAAGAGACTTTAAATCACGATCACATGAATTCAAATCATGATCACAATCACATTGAAATGCATTTGATCAAAATTCTTTTAACATTGTTAGAAAAGTCAACACAGTAGTGTCTGTTTTTCTTGGTAATTTTCGTAAGCTCAGAAATGAGTGTGTCATAACCAACGTCTTCAGATTCTATTGAAGTAGTTGAAAGAAAATGTAAGTTAAAAGAAGTGATTAATTAAATGCCAATTGCAAGTGGTGTACATGACAGAAATTAATCTGCTTCATATAACATAAATCGTGTTGCTCCCATTGACTTGTTAAACTAGTTACCCTAAAACATTTTAAGAACATAATCAAGCTGGCATAACTATTGCTTTTATACTACAGCGCTTACCATGAAACTTCCTTATGTAGTAAATGGCAATTATTTATGCATATAATAGGGAAGTTACATATTTACAAGAATTATTTCAAACATACTGTTATTTAAATATGGGCCAGCATAAGGTTTAGCTAAACTTCACTAGTAACTGATTGTTAAGACATATTTAATAAAAAAATTTCTTTTTTGTCTTATAAGGTATTTCTCCCACTTTCCTAGCGTCCTTCGTGGTGTAGTGGTTCTGCACGCTGGGCCTGTATTCCAGAGGTCCGTGGTTCGATTCCCGGCGAAGGGGTTTGCTATTTTTCATCTTTTCTGCTTCCAATTAACCTAATGTCTCTACAGTCTTAAATAAGCAAACCGGATCTGTTTTAAAAAATGACCCTTTATAAGGTACTTCTCTCGCCTTCTTGGCATGCCTTCGTGGTATAATGATGATCACGCTCGGCGCGTATTCGACAGGTCCGTGTTTTGGGTCCCGGCGAGGGCATTGCTCATATTTCACCTCTCCTGCTTCGAAATAACCTAATGTCTCTATAACTTTAGTGAATAGGAAATGAATAAAATGAAAGCTGCTGCCTCACTGATGTACGGTTTTAGCGGTTTAACCGAGGAGATACCCGTCAAACTTTGGAGGTGTTCAGATCGATAGACGTTCTGTATTTTACTTAAATTAAGTATTCCAATCCAATTTCTTCATTTATTCATCTCTCAGAGATAATTCCACTACTTCTTTCAATACAACTGTAATAATATTTCTAATTCATTCATTCCATTCTTCTGAAAAACTAATGTACAAGAAAGAATTTACATTTTTAATTTGTTTTTACTTAATTGATTATGGAATATGAGCTTATCTTATTAATTTTAATTTTATTAAACACATTGCTTACTTAAAATAAATTATTTTTAATCCAGAAAACGTCTAAGTATGTAGACTGTAATGTTATCCTTTACGTAAAATTCAAAAGCTGTGTAACAATTTATTTATGATGCAAGTAACCCAAAGAATAACTAGTGTATCTACCGCGAAATATTTCCGTTTTTATCAATTTAAACTGTGCTTACTCTCTGTCATTTTAAATTTTAACAGTAATAACCTATGAAACCTTAAGAGAATTATTTTGCATAAAACGTTTGAAATATTTCCACTGAAAAAATGTTTACTGCGTCAAATATCGCCTTTTCACTTGAAAAAAATAGATTAATGTGTCAAAAAATTTAGACAGTTTCTTATTTGTTATTATCAAAATATGAAGTAAAAACTTCGGTACTGCATGCATATGAAAATTCTGGTACGTAAAAACAATATTTGGAATGTAGAATGTAATACTTAAACATAATATAAAGCTTTTTTTCAGGTATAAAGCACATAACTGCTTGAGAGTAATGTAAATCAAGTAAATAATATTCACATGTGAATAGTTTTAGCACCAACCTGCTTAATACAGAATTTATGAACATTACAAATTACAGCATATTAATAGATTATTGTTATTATTATTGTTTAAAATAAAGCAATCTTAATTTGGGTAAAATTTTACCAAACAACGGCATCACGAAGATTTCTAAAAGTTTGATTGACTGTCAGCGTTTAGATATTAAAAGCTGAGCTTTTAAAATTTCTGGATCAATCCACCCTCACTTCAGTTATACTGTGAAGGAGGAAACAGATCATAACTGCTCTGGTTTCACTAAATCATCCCTGGTATCTACGCAGAACTCGCATTAAAATTTTAGCAGTATTAAGTGTTCGTGTATTTGAGTCATTTTTTTCCTCATATTTTACCGAAAAATAGCTTTGGTTTGTTTCTGTTAATTTGACTCAGTAAAAGCAAACAATTTCTTTCAAATTTAACACGGCTTCAGGAGGTATCTAAAGAGAAAATGAAGCAATAATAATATATATTTTATATTAAAATTTTTATACCTTAAAATGTTAATATAATTTTTATGAATGCATCTGTAGGATTTCCCATCATTCAGCTATTGTGGCCTCAATCCCGTTAAGAATAGGGTTAAAATTGAAAGAAACCTCTTGCTTTTATGAAGGCAAAACATGCTATGCGGAAGAGTCGTCATCAGGTAAAAATTTCCAGTATTCGTTCCCTTTAATCTGTAAACCCAGCTTTAACA